AGTGGTGGCAGACGAGATCAAACTCTCGCTCTTCACCGATGATATGATATTATACCTAGAAAACTCCATGGATTCATCCAAGAGACTCCTAGATTTAATAAATAAATTTGGTAAAGTTTCAGGTTATAAAATTAATATACACAAATCAGAAGCATTCATATATGCCAAGAATCATCAAGCAGAAACTCAAATCAAAAACGCAATACCCTTTACTATAGCCCCAAGGAAAATTAAATATCTAGGAGTATACTTAATGAAAGATATGCAAGATTTATACAAGGAGAACTGTGAAACACTAAAAAAAAGAAATTGCTGATGATTTGAACAAATGGAAAAATCTACTTTGTTCATGGATTGATAGAATCAATATCGTTAAATATCGATATTACCTAAAGTTATCTACAGAATTAATGAAATCCCCATCAAAATATCACCACCATTCTTTACCGATCTAGAAATAATAATTCTGCACTTTGTATGGAACCAGAAGAAACCTCGTATAGCCAAAGCAATCTTAAGTAAAAAGAACAAACTGGAAGGCATCAGTCTTCCTGACTTCAAGCTTTATTATAAAACAACAATAGTTAAATCAGCCTGGTAATGACACAAGAACAGAAGCATATATCTGGAATAGATCTGGGATACCAAATATGAAACTCTCAGTATACGGCAACCTAATATTTGATAAAGCAGAGAAAAATATACAATGGGAAAAGAATCCCTCTTCAATAAATGGTGCTGGGAAAACTAGTTAGCTACATGCAGAAGATTGAAACAAAATCCCTACCTCTCACCTCTCACAAAAATTCACTCAAGATGGATAACAGACTTAAACCTAAGGCATGAAACCTTAAGAATCCTAGAAGAAGACATTGGGAAAACCCTATTAGACATTGGCCTAGGCAAAGAATTTTTGAGGAAGAGCCCCAAGGCAATCACCACTGCATCAAAAATAAACAAATGGAATCTCATCAAATTAAAAAGTTTCTGCACAGCTAAGAAAACCATAATTAGAGCAAATAGACAACCCACAGAGTAGGAGAAAATATTTGCTCTCTACACTTCTGATAAAGGTCTAATAACAAGAATCTATCTAGAACTTAAAAGAATAAACAAGAAAAAAATCAAACAATCTCATCAAGAAATGGGCAACGGAAATGAACAGAAACTTCTCCAAAGAAGACAGAATAATGGCCTGCAAACATATAAAAAAAATGCTCAACATCTCTAATCATCAGAGAAATGCAAATCAAAACCACAATGAAATACCATCTAACGCCAGTGAGAATGGCTTGTATCAAGAAATCCCAAAATAACAAATGCTGGCGAGGATGTGGAGAGACACGAACACTCTTACACTGCTGGTGGGACTGCAAGTTAGTGCAACCTCTGTGGAAAAGAATTTGGAGATACCTCAAACACCTAGAAATAGAAATACCATTCGACCCAGAAATAGCATTGTTGGGCATCTACCCAAAAGAGCATAAAATATTCTACTATAAAGACATCCGCACCCGAATGTTTATGGCAGCACAATTCACTATTGCAAATGTCCGTCAATTCACGAGTGGATAATTAAAATTTGGTATATGCTCACAATGGAATACTACTCAATTCTAGAAATGACAGTGAGCTAGCACTGTTTATGCTATCTTGGATTAAGCTTAAGCCCGTTATCCAAAGTGAGGCGACACAAGATCAAGAAAATGGGCTCCACATCTACTCGCCATCAAATTGGTACTGACTGATTAAAACTATGGTGCTCAAATGGTGGCAGTGCTCACCAGGGTTTGGAGGAGGGGGAGATACACATCTTAGGGTTGTGGCGAGCATTGTGTGTGTGGGGGGGAGGGATGCCTCTAACCCTTTGTAGGGAAAGGCAAAGATATACAATGTAACCCAAAGGTCAAAAAAAGAAAAAAAAAAAACTTTTATCAGGTGGTGGGCAGATGGGAGGGGGGAGAGGGGGAAGGGTATATATACTTACAAAATAGGTGCGATGCGCGCCACCTGGGGGTAGGACATGCTTGATGTTTTGGTAAGGCAGGGGGCAGGGGAGGAATGGCAGGGGCAATATATGTAACCCTAACAATATTTGTACCCCCATAATATAATAAAATAAAAGGAAAAATAACATTGAGAGCAGGAGGAAAAAAAAAAAAAAAAAAAAGCAGTGCTGTCCAGCCAACATTTTATCTGCTCCAGGTTTCCAGGGGAAAGGAGCTAGAAAGTTAACCTAAAGTCATATTTCCATAGAGATGGAGAAGGGATTATGTTACATTTTATTCGCAGCACAACACACTTAACACAGAGATATACAGTACAAAGAGATACACATATAAGCATCAGGATGTGTTTTTTTCCAGGGGACAGTAATTTCCCTTTCATCTCTTGACCAATCCAATTACCTTATGTCAAACTAATCCTAATAGGACTCTACTATTTTAATCTTGGCAATTACAGGCATATTTACATCAAATAACATTGAACATACAATGTTTAAGACATCAAATCATATTACATCATAATTTTTTATGCTTTTCAAGTCATGCTCCATTATTTTTAAAATAAACTTTATAGCATATATTTAAGGTATATAAGACGATGTTATAAAATACACACACACACACATATATATATACATAGTAAAATAATTACTGTAGTGGAACAAATTAACAAACCCATCATCTCACATTATCCCTACCCCAATCTGCCTTCCCCCATGGCAAGAGCAGCTATAATCTATTCATTTAGCACAAATCCTGAAGACAATGCACTATTACTACAGTCCTCACCTTGCCATTCCATCTCTAGAGTTGTTCTTCCTACATACTTGCTACTTTGTATCCTTTGACCAAAAAGCACCCTGTCGCTAAACCAGGTTAGCACAAGTGTTCCCTTTTAAACGTTCTTAGTATGTTTCAAATTGGATTTTAAAATCCTTATGCCAAAATCCATTCCATCCATATTTTAAAATAAAATCTCAGTTAATAGCAACTTTATCTTTTTAGTTCCTCAAGTCAAAAATCTTGGCGTCCCCTAGACAACTGTCCTCTTGTCATCCCACCTCAGCCCCTGGGTGCGTGTGAACGCGCACTCATAAAGAACACGGTGTGCCGGGCTCTTCTGGCTTGCACTTTTAAAGATTTAAACTCTGTCACTCTCTGCCTCTTAAACAGCTTGACTTTAATTATGATAGATGACTGCACTCGGCTTTCTCGGTATCTGTCACTAGAGGGCAGTAGAGGCTCCAGGTTCCGTGTGGTCGGAGCCGTCCGGGCTGCGGTGGGGAGCGGTGGTGGCGGTGGTTGTCGTGGCGTTGTGCTGTCATTGCTGTTGCCTCAGCCGTCTTGTTGTTGAAACTCTCCAGCGGACAGAGGGAATAGAGGTGCTTCAGATGGTCCCCCTACCTGGGGACCGTGGGGTGGCAGCGGAGGTCAGGCGCCGCAGCCCCGGCCCCGCCCAGGGGGTGGGGGGTGGGCGGGCAGGGCTTCCTGCCCCTGCAGCTGGGCGCCCGGAGCCAGGGGGTGGGCACCGTCTCTGGGGCCTTGCTGCCTAGACTTGCTCCTAAACGTGGGCACGGAGAGCTTCCCGCCCACATCTGTCGCGTGCAGCCCAAAGGGGGCGGGGGGGGGGGGGACATCTCTTTTTGAGTCTCTCTCTCCATAAATAAAGGTGAACCTGAACGAGCCAGTCCTTCAAGATGGATCCCACCCGGCTAAATGGGCCTAAAGTGTAAATGCAGGCACAAAGCCACTTGCTGACTAGAGGTCACGCAGCTTTTATTTTCTTGTTTCTGAGTTACTTCACTTAGGATAGTGCTCTCACTTCCACCCAAGTTGTACAGTGGCCTTCTTCACATCTATCCATGCCGCTCTTCCCCCTTGTACCACAAGTTAGCCCTTCACTTTATAGTGTTTTAAGGTGAAAACACCTATGCCTGTGGATCCTACCAATTTTCATAAAGTATGTTCTCCATTTTCACCACATCGTCCAGTCTGCTTGATAAATATTTGTTGACAAATGGATGTTCAACATTTAGTCACGCATCCTTCCTTAATACCACAAATCGTGTTAAAGGCACCTGTGTGGACAGACCTAATGGCCTTATTGGTGAAGACCCATTTGTTAGGCCCTATCCTCCAGGTCCAAGAAGGAATCTTTGTTTTCAGGAGCTTTGAAATGAAATGCAGTTACTCCTGGCCCTCCTTTGGTATTTCTCTGGACACATTCAAGGGGCTGACACACAGTAGAAGGGCCTAAGAAAACTATAATTAAATACAACTTCTTTTCTCTGTTCCTTTTCTTTTGGGATGCGGGAGAGTGCTACTCACTGGCACCCTTCCAGGACACATTTCCACTCCAGGAGCTGATGAGAAGACAGCCAGCCTGCTTGCAATGTCAGCATCACTGAGAATATCAATTGTCTTAGTCCATCTGAGTTGCTATAAAGGAATACCTGAGGCTGCATAACTTATAAAGAGGGTGATTTGACTTATGCTTCTGCAGGCTGAACCTGCTTCTGGGGAGGGCCTCAGACTGCTTCCACTCATGGTGGAAGGTAAAGGGAAGCCAGCGTGTGCACAGATCGCATGGCAAGACAGAAAGCAAGAGAGGAGGTGATACCAGGTTCTTCTTAACAATCAGCTCTCAATGGAACTAATAGAGTAAGCACTTGTTCACTACCTGAGAACAACATTAAGCCATTCATGAGGGATCCACCCCAATGACCCAAACACCTCCTACCATGCCCCACCTCCAACATTGGGGAGTATGTTTCAACATGAGGTCCAAACAACAGCATCAATCAAAGTTAAAGCTTCAGGGAAATTAGAAGGAAAAACTGGCAAGATGAACAAAGATTTAGTGAAAAATACAACACATTAGAGACTAAAAAAGGCAGTCTATAGTGTTCAATTCTAATTACTCATATGTTTTTGCATAATTGATTAACCAACTAATTGATTAATTTTTATTTTATTGAGGATTTTCACATCTAGGCCCAAAAGTAAATTTGTCTAAAACTGTCTTATGATTCCTTTACCTTGTTTTGGAGTTAAGGTTATATAGGCCTTGTTAAATGGGTAGGGTAAGGTAGGTTTTGTCTTTTTGGAAATAGTGCATTAAGTTTTTGAGGAGTAGAAGGAAGAGGTATGAGGAAACTTTCGGGAGGGGTGAAGGGAATGTTCATTATCTCAAATGTGGTAATTGTTGCAGTGGTGTACACATATGCTCAAACTCATGACATTGTACACTTTAAATATGCAAAGTTTATTGTATGTCAATTATACTTCAATAAAGCTGTTTGTGAAAGAATCTCACAACTTAGTTCTGGGATCTGTGCTTGGGCTCTGAAATTTGGTGGCAGTGCCCTGAATCTTCATGCCCACTGGTTACCTAGGGAGAGGATCATTCTCTGCCTACTGCCATTACCCGAGAACAAAACACCAGGGAGGGCAGCCATGGGGAAAGCATTAAGATTTCCAGACTGTTGAGAAGGACACTCAAGAATGTCTCCTATGCAAAAGGACAACTTCCAGTGGAAAGATTACAGAAAAGGGACTGGCTCTCTCTGTGCTCCTTCACAGTATCTCAGATAGCCCAAGATTCCTCCAGCTGATGACTTCACAGTTGGTTTGAAAGGCAAGCTCATTACCTCCACGTTCCTCTTCAGCGTGGATGGCGAGAGTTGTTGGGATCCCAGGTGCCAGATTACAGTTAACACCTGATGATAGTGACAATGGAAATGACTTTAGGAGGACCTTGGACACAAAACCTCGTGGGACATTTGGGGAAAAAGAGAGGGCTTTACTTCAGCCTTCCCTGGAGTTCCAGATGAATGCATCATCTTGGCCAACGTTCTCCTTACGAACTCTAACTGGATCTGAAATCGCAACTGCAACATTCTTCAAAAAGGAGTCACAGAAGCCAACCTTAAGTCATATAAAGTGAGAATGAAACTTGAAGCAGTAGACAGAAGAGCACTCATCCATCTGCCCTGCACCTGTTGGAAGTGTGAAAGGAATAAAGGTCACATCACAGGTGATGCCTGCAGCAGAGCTCTTGATTATTGCTATAAATACAGTTCTTGAGATATTGTCCTAGTTGGGTAATGTCACTTGACAGGCATCTTACAATCATCAGGAAGCAATGCTTCCATTACAAAAAGTATAGTAGAAGTACAATCTCCTTCCCATGTGGAAAAATGCTCCCATGCCACTAGTATCTTGGGTCAGGTCAAGGTGGGTAAAACCACCTAAAAACTTTACTTCCCAAGATGAATAAGTCTCTTAAAAATGCTTCCATGACCAAAAAATTAGCATTCATACTTAAAAGTCCCAAAATTACAAAAAAAAGTCTTCGTGTTTTTTTCTCCCCCATCTCCATTGTGTAAAGTTACTAGAAAGAGTCCCTGGCCTTCCACTTGGTAAAGGGTGGCACTACAGAGACAATGGCTGCAGTCTATGCCCTTGCAAACAAACAGGGGACTCCAGTGCTCACCTGCATCAGAAGAGAGCCCAGCAGCCACCACGCCCTGGCTGGCCAATGGACACGGAGCTCTGGCAGGCCATGCTGACCCATGTGGGTTGTGCCCTCCAAGCTGGACTGTTCTAGGAGTCCTCTGTAGAGGAGACATGGTAGCTGCCTCTCCTGGTGGAGGAAAATAATCCATCTACCTCCCATCAGTGATTAACACCTCCTCGAAATAAAAATGATAAATGACAATCAGGAAAAGCAAATGTATCAGGAAATGGAAACGGAAGTGCCTCCAGCTTCTGCTATTCCTCTCTCACCTAAGCACCCCACACAAGAGAGATATATGCCCTAGAAGCAGAAATACTGTCTGGTGATGAAATGACATGCCTGAAGCGCAAAGGCTTTCAGAAAACCCACTAATTCTCTCTGAGCCCTGGTGGGAGAACTTGCACAAACTCTCTTAACTCTAGGAATTCTTTTTAGCCTGTATCAGCTACCTCAAGCTCATCCCCAGTTGTGAATAAACTCTCACTTATCTCTATCAAAGACAATTATATGAAGTCAGTAAAATCCCTGCACAAAGGAGAATTGAAGGCCCAGTTCAACAAGTGAACCTGACCTTAGTGTAGTGAAAATAAGGTTCTACCAAGGACCTCCATATTGATCTGTGGATAAAGTAATGCCATTTGTGAAAGAGGCAGATTCTTAGACTTCAGCACTACTCGAAAAGCTCTTCAGAAGATGTGAAGTTGGTGGAAAGTTCTGTTGTGTCTGAGGGGCTGATATGAGGATGAAGCCTAGGTCAGGATGAAAGCTAGGCCACCACCCCAAAGGACTTGACAACTGCAAAAATGTTCTTTGTCAGACTGTGCTCACTTTGCAGGTGTACAGATGCCTTCTTAATCTAACAATGTTTTTGCTGTCCTAAGCAGTCTTCCTTTAGCAAAAGTTTCCCCTGAAGAATTCAGGAGTAACATTACAATTGACTTATCTAAACACTACTAGAAGCAGTAATAATAGCACATTCAACTTGGCAGTCCTATGTGTCTTTTCATTTTTTACTTGTACAATTTACAAATATACTTTAAACAGGAAATCAGAGGATTTTTATTGATGTTACTAAATACTTATAAATAGAATAGCCAAATCCTGATGGGTAAAATATAAGAGATTGACTATATATATAAATCCATAAAAATTTTAACCTTAGAAGACAGCCTAAAGATGCAACTAAATCATGATTTCTCAACTTGACACTACTGTCATGCTGGACCAGAGAATTCCTTGTTATTGGGGCTGTTCTGAGCATGGTAGGATGTTTAGCAGCATCCCTGACCTTGACTCACTAGATGCCAGTAGCATCCCCCCCAACCGGTTGTGACAATCAAAAATGTTTCTAGACAAATGTCCCCTGGTTGAGAATCACTGAACTAGATGTGTCATCTCTTTGGTGAATGTGTTATGTCTGGGGCCATCATGGTCCATTCATGCTGTTTCCAGAAAGGGAACGGCCATGTCAATTGCTTTCATTGCTATTGCTATTTTATATACAGTTTTAAAGGAAAAGTTTATAAGCTTTGAAAATAAAAACAAAGAAACGTGGTCTACCTAAGTTTAGAGCCCCCACCATTAGGCTGGTAAATCTCAAGGCAGGTCATTCTACCCTGTGTTTCTTGAAAGTCCAAAGATGAAAGAAATGAATTTTCATTTGCAAAGGATTTTTTCACAAGAGGCTGTGAACAGCTATACCAAGGAAAACCCCAGATGCAATTAGATGAAGGGCAGGTCTTAACAGATCAATTTGTGAAATTCAAAAGGAGAAATACAATTTCTGTTTTAGAAAAAAAATGTAACATTGGTGTCTGAAAACCTCATAGATTAATGACCATCTTGCTGGGCACCATATTGACCAAGTGAGAGAAACTCCTTCCTGACCAGGAGCCTGGAGCCCTGAACTTGGGCTGAGGTCACCCACATCTCGTTTTTCTGTGTCCTGCTTTCTGCCTTTGCTGACTACCGACTGCTTCATTGAAAGGGTGTTCCATAACATTAACCACGGACAGCCTCTGCTGCCTATGGCGGTGACTTGCGGTCCTCCTTCCACGCTCACCCTGGCAGGGTCTGAGCTGCGGAGATGGGAGCAGGGGAAGGACACTGCCTCCGTGCTGTCAAAGTGATGAAAAGGTATTTCATTATCAGCTGCTTAATATTGATTATACCTTTTCCATTCCATTAGAGAAGATAATTGGGAGATGGTCCTATGTATATTCAATGATTCCTAACTACTCTGCTACTGACACTGGGGAGTAAAAAAGTCCTGGATTTTAAGTACCTACCTTGCCAGTTGCAATTTCTAGGCCACTGCTGATGCCCAGGAGAACGTCATTCACCAAGAAGGCAGAAACTTGAAGTGACATCTACCTTTGATCAGACCCTGTAGCTTTTGTTGACTGAAAGACACAAGGACAGACCCAAGTCAGGGGTGAGCCCTGTAGGGCGCTGGCTCAGAGAGCCCAGGCCGGGCTGGCTGGCTGGCGTGCAGGGAACCTGGCTCTAGCTTTTCATCTGGATCTAGCACCAACCCCACCAGCAAGTCACTCCCGCCCTCTGACCCTCAGTTTCCACGTATGCAAGATGAAGGGGTGTCTTTAAAGAAGACATGTGCAATCAGCTGGGCTAAGCCAGACCTGAGCAAGAACTGGCATATCGTTTTATCTACTGCCAGATAAGCATTTGCTACTTGGCACAGGTTTACATTTCGGATGGGTGCCAATCTTGAGTTCCACCACAATGCTATTCAAAGTGTGGTCTATGGTCAGGTGTCAGTTGACAAACTGTTACTGGTCCAAGGCAAGCTAAGCGGAAAGAATGGGAGGAAGCTTTAGGAAAGTATATAACTACCTGACACTTAACTTGCCTGAAGCCCCAGTACATGACCAATATGAGCTTGTCTTGTTGAACAAGGGATTGGCATTTGGAGGTTGGGTGTAGTCATATTGGTGTGCCATGAGCCATGTGGACTTGGAGACATGTGTACAGGAGCTGTGTACTTGTCATGCCCAGGAGGACTGCCTTACAATAGCTGATATTTTAAGGTTTATCAACTGTAATCCAACACTGCATAATCTGTGTGCATTTATGATTCATTTATATTTTTATAATCATTATGATTTTTAATTATGATTTTTAATATTACTATATATATACATACTCACATATATTTGGTAGCTACATTAAGAAAGTTAAGTTTACTGTATATGCAAAGTGCTAAATTCATAGTGTTACTTACAGAAAGGTATTGACTAATGAAACCACAAATGAAACTAGTACTTACATGATATTTACTTACCAAACAAATTCAAAACAAAAAAGGAATTCTTTGTGAAAGAGAGTTTTGAGTAAAAGGCTGATAGAAGCATATTTTCAGCATTTCACACATAAATATTAAAGTTTTGGGGGGCTTTACACAGATTTGCTCTTCAGGTTACTAAGACTAAAAACCATTTATAGTTGCTGGGAGATTAGCAAAAGACTGTATTGGAATTACCTGCTTAAAAATGCTGGGTAAAATTGACAGGAAAAGTAGGACTCAGGTACCATTTTCCAACCTAATGTGTTCAGGAACTGACTAATAAGATATATGACCAACTCATAAGATAAATAAAATTAGCTATTTTTCATTTGCAACTTGACAAATGCACAGATATTACTAAAAGAACAATTTTTTTCTTTTGCATTATGTAATTTGAACATGATAGTGGGTGGAATTTTTTTTCTAGCTTTATTGTTGCTGTGGTTTGAATGTATGTCCTCTCCAAAATTCATATTGAAACTGAATTCCCAATGCTATAGTATTAAGAAGTGTGGCCTGTGGAAGGTGATTAAACAACTTTATAAAAGGGTGGGATGAGCACCCTATATGGACTTGAGGTTGAAGGGAGAGCTCTTTTGACCTCCATTTCTTCTGACATGTGAGGATACAGTGTTCATTCCCTCTGGTGCAATAAGCACCATCTCAGAAGCAAAAACCCGGCCCTCACTGGACGCCAAACCTGTGGCTACCTTGATCTTGGACTTCCCGGCCTCTAGAACTATGAGAAATAAATTTCTATTGTTTCTCAACTACCTAGTCTGTGGTATTTTGTTATAGCACAAACAGATTAAGACAATTATTGACAAACACAACTAGCTTTGTATTAAATAAACTATGTAGAATTATATTGTCAATACATATGCTTTGGAATTTAAGTTTTGAGTAGGAGTGTGTTCTGATGGCACAAGTGAAATGACAGAAAAACATTTGGAAGAGTTACCCACAAAGAGAACTTTAAGAGTGAATATAATAAGTGGGTAATTTCCTTCATGGAGAAAAGTCTTGTTATCAAATATGTCAGCTGAACTAAAAAGTGTGCTTAGTGACACACAAAAACCTAAGAAGTAGATTTAAGATTATTCCTTTTATAACGTAATAATATGGAAGTTGATCATAACTGGTACTATATGCTGAGTTAAGATTTTTATGGACCGGAAAAATTGTGTCAAGCATGTCTGAACATACAACATAAATTCTTTGTTTCTACAAAATAAGAAACTAGTTTGGTTCCAACTTTTTAAAGTATAAACTAGACCGTCAGTCTTGCTTCTCCAACTGCTAGTTTCAATGTTTTTAATAATTTTTAGACTTTCTCATGCGGAAGAAAGACAACATATTTTGCAAAGAAATATATGACAGAAGAGCAAACCCAAAAGTAAAAAGCATGAAAGAACAGTTCTACAGAATTTTTTAACATGTTTGACATGTTCCATAATTTTACAATGACTATCCATGAAGTAAGCAGGTGATGATCCTAATATTGGCAGCCTGAAAAGTTATAAACACCTTATGAATGTGACATAATACTTTTATTTTTTATTTTTATTTTTATTTTTTTCTCCCCTCCCCCTTATAGTTTTATTTTCTATTAATAGAAGATCCATATATAAGAAAATCATAACTCCATGTCTTTCACTGAAAGGTAATTTAAATAAAAGGTAATTGAAATATAACTATAACTTTATGGGAAAAATTATGTAACTACCTTTTGAGGGATTGAAAATGAATTTTGAAAATACAGAATCACTTGTTTCATTTTGGATCAAAGTTAAAAATGAATATCTTGAAATTACTGAAACTATAAAATCTCTTCTTACATTGCAATCAACATTTTAGACAAGTTTCTCTAATTTGAGTTTTCCAAACAAAACATAGAAGTCATTTAGATATACATTATCCCCTGCAAGCAGGATCACAAACCCAAACTATATTAGATAAACTAACAAGAAGTGAGCACATTTGTGGAATGACAAAATGTTATGAGTATAATATGGATTCTATTAATCACCTATAGACATACTTTCAATGAATGTGTATTGATACCCTCATAATATCCTGAAATTAAAAAATTAATAAATAAAATTAAAAAAATAAAAATAGCATACTCATATCAATGCTGACCCAAATGGCCAAAATGATCTTTGAGGCCAAAAATCAAAATGTCACAGTGTATTTTACTAATGTTATAAAACTAATCTCTACAGAGTTCTCAAATAAGGAAATAAACTATTTTATTCGATTAAAAAAGAAGAAATAATTTGAAGGAAGTAAATTAATCTTTGGTAAAATGTTTATTTTTACATTTATTTTATCAGTATTTATTTATTTCATCAGTATTACTTATAATATCCCTTTGCCTTAATGTTTATTATTTAGGTCTAAAACAAACCAAAAATGTTATCTTGAAAATAAACTATGACTTTTTTAGCTAAAGTTGTTTATTATAAATCTTGGCATCCAATTAGTATTTTATTTCAGTACACAGAGCTTTTGAAAAGAATGGTAGGCCATAATATATATCTAAGGATGATATATTAAGTATTTTGTTCCTAGTAAAATAATTCAGTATATTTTCCCTTATTTCACATTTATTATTGTTTTAAATATTGTGAAGAGGAAACAAAAGTTATTGAAATAGCAAATATTCTCACAATTTGCTAAGAAGACCTATGTACATTTTACCTTACTTATCATTATCATTTTGAAATATAAGGCTTCTTTTGTATTCACATATATTTACACCACAGGAGTCAGTGTGATTTGGTAGAGCCCTGTAGAGTAGATTCAGAAGACTGGTGAAAATCCTGTAGCTGGCTTATATTTTTAACTTCTTCTTTTCAGAATTGTGACATATCACTGAGTTCACTGATACATGTAGAAGTGCTTAGTACAATATCTAGATTTATCATTTATTGATTGATATAATTGTTATAAAAGAGTATAAAAATGTTAGAAAAGTATCTGTAGAATATTCTCAGAAAAAAAAAAAAAACCCTTAAAGAACTTTGGGAAATTTTGCCTGTCCCAATATATACAGAGCTCAGGCTCTTACTATGGGGGTGGTGTATAGGTTAGTTGCCATTGTAAACCCTACTTTCTAATGTAGTCAAAGTTATTAATCTTTTATGCATTTGGGCCTGTTGTAATTCAGGAAAAGTCTTTTCTAATTCCGAGATTCGTAAAAACTCTTTAATGATTTCTCTTTTGCTTTCATGGATTCATTGTCTGCATATAAATTTTTGAACTTTTTGGAATTTATGATCTATAAGGTCCAAGGTTTGGATCCAACTTCTTTTTCCAGTTAGATAACTGCTTATTGCAACACATTCATTGTGTAAAGGTGCAGGTCATTCTTTAATTTCAAGAGAAATCCTGATATGTCATTATATTGAGTGCTAGCTAAAAGTTTCCTTTGTTTTACTTAGATTTCTCATGATCACGAAAAAGAGAGAGATTTGTTGCATAAACATCACACGTTGAGGCCAGGCGTGGTGGCTCACACCTATAATCCTAGCACTCTAGGAGGCTGAGGCGGACGGATCGCTCAAGCTCAGGAGTTGGAAACCAGCCTGAGCAAGAGAGAGACCCCGTCTCTACTATAAATAGAAAGAAATTAATTGGCCAACTACAAATATATAGAAAAAATTAGCCAGGCATGGTGGTGCATGCCTGTAGTCCCAACTATTCGGGAGACTGAGGCAGAAGGATTGCTTGAGCCCAGGAGTTTGAGGTTTCTGTGAGTTAGGCTGACATCACTGCACTCTAGCCCAGGCAACAAAGTGAGGCTCTGTCTCAAAAAGAACAAAACAAAACAAAAAATCACATGTTGCATGATGAAGTGGCCAGGCTAAGACAGGAAATGGACACAATAAAAATGGAGTGCCAGGAAAAAGAAAAGAAAAAACCTTTCAAGGATATTGAAATTGTAGAACAAGAGAATGAGGACTTTCAACGGACTATAAAACTCAATGAGGAAAGATTCAGGAAAACAATATCCCTGTATGTTGGCAAGATCAATGTTCTAACACATGAGAACATAATGCTAAAATCTGAACTGGAAAAAGAAAAACAAAACAAAGGAAAGACTGGAAAGAGAAATCGAGTCATACCGTCTGAGACTGGCTGCTGCTGTTTTGCAGATAACAAAAGATGAGTGGTCTGCTACACAGGATATGTGCATTCCCATGCTAACATCCTTTCCCAGCAACTTTCTGAAGCTGAAAGTAAATTCAGCACCCTCCAAGCTGAGTTGCAGCACACGAGAGACGCTCTCTGAGAAAAGACTTTGGCTTTAGAAGGTGCACAAAGAGACCTGAGGAAAACATAGTTTGAAAAGAAGAAAATTGAATGCATGTATCAAGAAATGTTATTATATTTACCATTAAGTTTTCTTATAGTTCCTCATTAAAATCAGTTATAAATTTTAAAAAATGAATGTGTATCAATTTTAAAATTCTTTTCTATGTTATATTTATTCTAATGATAGTTATTAAAATATAATTTCATTGTCCTGTCTTTAATTTAAAAAACTAGATTTGTATTGTGTCTGCTTTTTCATTTCATTTTTCTAATAAATCATTTTATAGTTTTTTAAAAATATATCAGCCCCTAATGGATAGGAAATTTTAATAAAACAAAAACTTGTCCTTCACCATAGATAATTTGAGAAGCAAATAATATTATGTCCTCCCAGAACTCTCCTCCATGTTCTTTTTATCTGGGTGAAGTTTTCATCTATGTGTTTGTGACCTTCTCTTAATCTTTGACCATCTCAAGGAATATTTACATGTTGATAGGATTCTCTTATAGATTAGAAAGATTATTTAAGGTTCAAAGAAATTAGCCATCATAATGAAAGGCCCATTGGTAGAGATGATGATTAGAATCAGCAAATCTCACTGTTGGGTTAGAAGAAATATAATTTAGCATCTTGCCCAAATTAGGAGTTGGTTCTGTAATACATTGAGAACAACATAAACTTTGGGTTTGGGTTCTATAATGCAGTACGGTAGTCCCCACTTGTCCACAAGCCATACATTCCAAGACCCCAGTAGATAACTGAAACCACGGACAGTACTGAACACTACCAGGAGGACTCCAGAGGGATGTCCAGAGATTTCACCACATTGGCCAGGTGCAGTGTCTCACGTCTGTAATCCTAGTACTCTGGGAGGCCGAGGTGGGAGGACTGCTTGAGCTCAGGAGTTTGAGACCAGCCTGAGCAAGAGCGACACCTCATCTCTACTATAAATAGAAATTAGCCAAACAACTAAAAATAGAAAAAATTAGCCAGGCACAGTGGTGCGTTGCCTGTAGTCCCAGCTACTTGGGAGGCTGAGGCAGGAGGGTCCCTTGAGCCCAGGAGTTTGAGGTTGCTGTGAGCTAGGCTGATGCCACGGCACTCTAGCTGGGGCAACAGAGTGAGACTCTGTCTCAAAAAAACAAAAAAAGAGAGATTTCACACAACTCAGAATGGTGCACAATCTAAAACTTCTGAATTGCCTATTTCTGGAATTTTCCATTTATTATTTTTGGATCATGGTTGATAGTGGGCAATTGAAACCTCAGAAGGCAAAACCTTGGATAAGGGCAGACTACTGAGTTGAGCAAATGGGCTCTGAAGTCAGCCTTCATAAGTTCAAATCTTGCTTCAGTAACTACCTACTGTAGTATCTTACTTAAATTACTCAATTTTCTGTGCCAAAGTCTTTCCATTTGTACAGTGAAGATAATAATAACAATACCTACTGCAAAGAGTTGATGCAAGGATTAAATGAGAATGCATATGGAAAAGCCCTTAATAGTCCTGCGCTAGGAGTAAAATGGTCAATAATTGTTAGTTCTTCTTAGCGTTATTACTGTGCAAAGCTCTTTCATATGCTACTAGCAAATTCAAGCTCCTCCACAAGTTATCAGGTGGCAATGAAAATATTCTTATCAACATTTTAGAAATGAGGAAATTCAGGCTTAGAGAATTCAATGACCAACGCAAAGCCATAAACCAAGAGACTTCTCATTTCTAAAGTCATAAACGGCTGCTCAGCCCCAGAAATGGGGACTTTACCACTCTTCTGGCAACTCAAATCCTTACGTTCCATCAAGTCCAAATCGGCCTCCCAGTAGCTCCCATCCATTGGGTGTGGCCATATGCTCTGAAGCAGGAGAATATAAAATGAGCCTGACATCCTCATCTCTGGAAGACAGACCCCAACTCCCCATTAAATGGCTGCGGCTCCCCAGAAGGTTCCAGTTCCCAACAGTCTGCCTTCTCTGAAGAGCACAAACCTGGGCCTCCCTTCAGGGCCCACAGCCGCCCTCCCGCATTCCCGCCAAGAGTTAAAGAAACCAGGGACTCACAGAAAGTCTTGAGCTTTCAGGATGGCAGGTAGGAAAAGAAACACTTTGCACAAGTGCTAAAACTCCCTCCCCTTACAAGATGACAAAACTGGCTGAAGTCCGTTAGAACCGACTTGGTCGCCTGGAGTGTGAGCGGAAGGAGGTGGCTGACACTCCGGCCGATTCTCCCCGCGTTCACGCCAACCCCTGCCCACAACTGCAGGCAGCCACGAGGAGGCTCGCAGAGGCCACTGCCTCGCCCAGGGACGTTCCGGACGCCCGTCTCCTGCCCCCGTCACCTGCTGACCCGACTCCACCCCAGCCGTGTCTAAGCCGCACAGGGCCGGCCTGAGCCGCACTCCCGGCTCCTCGTCCATACACTCGCAATAAAAGCTTTTCTCGAAAACCACGTGCCACAGCGTGGGCGTGTGCACACCGGCAGCGAGCCCCCTGCACGGCGGCTCCGGTCCGTGGGCTCCAGGGTCCCCGTCCACCGTCCCTGCTGTGCCGGCCACGGGCACTGTCCCCCCGGGCTGGCCCCGGCCCACTCCACCTGCTGCCCTGTGCCAGCGAGCAGGAAAGGGTGACCGTGGTCTCACCACAGACACCCAGGGCTCCTCGGGCACGGCCGGCGACCACCGCGGTGTGCCCAGCGGCTCCCTCCCACCTCTCCCGCCCGGCAGTGACCGGCCGCTCACTGATGGGGGGACAGCCACCACCCCGCTCACCTCCATCCGTGTGGGGTGGCCGACGTTTGCTGCTTTCTACGCGTGCGGTGCAGCTTTGATAGGGCCGACCCGGCCCGGGTCCGAGAGCCCGCGGGCCAACCGCCGGCCAACCGCCAGGCAACCGCCCGCCAACCGCCCGCCAACCGCCGGGCAACAGCCCCACAACCGCCCGGGGCCGCGAGCCGCTCCAGGCCCCGCCCCCGCTGCAGGTCGACCCCGCCCCCTCATCCCAGCCACACCCACCGCCAGGCTGGCCCCGCCCACGGCGGGCCCTCTCAGTTTCTGCCACTGTTCTGTCCCCATAACGGTTACCCAGGTTACCCACATCCCCGCCATAAAAATGAGCGGAGCCGGGAGTCGTGCCCAGAGATCCAGGCTGGGTGGGGGCTGGATGCCCAGGGTCCGAGAGGCACACCAGGTACCAGGCGACTGAGGTTTTCAGGCAAGATTCCCCGCAGGGCAGAGGCTGGGCACTCGCAACTTTCCCTCACCTCGGAGGGAAGGTCGTTCCTGTCCCAGGGCTGTCACCGTCCTGGCAGGCCAAGAGGAAGCAAACAGGGAGAGCCTCCGGTGCTGTGGTGGGAGTGCAGGGCAGGGGAGGTAACCTTCACACAGGCGGTATCGGGGAGCTGCAGAGATGGAAATTCAGCCGATGTCAGCTGGGGAAAGGGGGTGGGGACGCGGAGAGGTCGCCAGAGACAACTGTCAGGCGCCCTAGGATGTGCTGTGCTTATTCCTCTCCCTCACAGCAGAGCCCTCGCACAGTCTGTTCCTGCTGCCCAGGGGCCTTCTCCGGCCCTGGCCCCCGAATGAGTAAATCAAAATTTTAAATAAATTTTCATTTGCAGGCCCAGTACGAATTGATAAGGATGGCATTTATAGGTAGTGCGGGGAGGACGTTTGAGGGCAAAAGTCATCTATAAAGAAATACAAGGCACTGTCCGTGAAGTGACCACAAATAGGGCTTTTTGCTTTGAAGATAATTTATCCTCAGATCTGTAGGGATGCATGTTAAACTTCACAGTATTTCTGCTATCATACATAAACTGCGTCTAACATTTCTGCTATGAAGTATATGCTGCCAATGTGGCTTGTATTTCTACCTACATGTTTCTAAAACCCAATCTGTGAACATTAACTTTTTAGTTAAGACAGCCAGTTTGTGGGATTTAATCAGTGTGGGTGGGCTATGCCAAAATTAAACACGTTGCTGTCGTCTTTTAATTTTTTTATAATTGGTGGTTAAATATATTTAACAAAATTTACCATTTTAACCACTCTTAAGTGTATAGTTCTATAGCATTAAGTATATTCACATTGTTATGCCACCATCACCAGAACTTTTTCATCTCCTCATTTCTCCAATCCCTAGACCCTGGCAACTACTATTCTACTTTCTAACTCTATGAAAAGTAAGGAAATGTAATCTTGAGGGGAATATGTAGTTCTGGTTCAAGTTGGAAGATCTGAGAACCAGGACAGCTGATAGAGTAGTTCCTGTCCAAAGTCCCAGCTGACTTGAGACCCAGTAAGAGCCACTGTTTCAGTCTGAGTCCAAAGTCAGGAGAGAGCCATGTCTCAGCTTGAGGGTGAGGGCAGTCAGGCAGAAGGGATTTTCTCTTACTTTAGCAGGTCAGCCCTTTTGTTCTATTCAGGCCTTTAAATGACTGGATAAGGCCCTACCACATTAAGGAGGATAATCTGCTTTACTTAGTCCACTGATATAAATGTTAATCATATCCAAAAACATCCACACAGAAATACCCAGAATAATATTTAACCAATATCTGGACACCCCATGGCCCAGTCAAGCTGACACATAAAATTATAAATTACAGGTATTGATTTTTGTCAAGTGCTTTTTTGCATTAACTAAGATGATCAGGTGTTTTAGGTTTTTTTCTTCACTCTCAATGTGGTAATTACATTGATTTTTATGTTAAACCTTCCTTGCATTCCACGAATAAATCCTTCCTTGCCATGTTGTATAAACCTTTTGACATGCTGTTAAATTCAGCTTGTTAGAATTTTGTTGAAAAGTTTTGCATCAATATTCACAGGAAATACTGGTCTGTAGTTTTCTTTCTTTCTTTCTTTCTTTCTTTCTTTCTTTCTTTCTTTCTTTCTTTCTTTCTTTCGTAGTATCTTTGTCTCACTTTGGTATTGGAGTAATACTGGCCTCATAGAGTTAGGAAATGTTTCCTTCTATTGTTTGCAAGAGTTTAAGAAGAATTAGTATTCTTCCTTAAATATTTGGAAGAATTAACCATTGAAGCCATTTTGTTCTGGACTTTTCTTTATTGGGAGATTTTGATTACTTATTCAATCTCCTTAGCAGTTATAGTTCTAGTCAGATTTTCTATTTCTCATGATTCAATCATTGCAGTTTGTTGTGTTTGTAGGAATTTGTCAATTTCCCCTACTAATCCAAGATGTTGGTGTGTAATTGTTTATAGTACTCTATCATAATCCTTTTCATTTCTGTAAAATCAGTAGTAATTGATTATTGGTTTTAGTTAGTTTCTAGTTTTCTCTTTTTTAAAAGCCAATTTAGCTAAAGACTTGTCAAGTTTGTTTACCTTTTCCAAGAAACAACTTTTGGTTAGATTGATTTTCTCTATTTTATTTATATCTATTATAATATTTATTTTCTTCCTCCTGCTATGTTTGTTAATAGATTGTTCTTTTTCTAGTTCCTTAAGGTATAAAGTTACAATATTCATTTGAGATCTTTCTTCTTTTTTAATGTCTGCATTTACAGCTATAATTTCTTTCTTAGTATCACCTAAGTTTTGGTATATTGTGTTTTCACCTTCATTTGTTTTAAGATCTTTTCTAATTTCCCACATGATTTCTTCTAAGATTCATTGTTTAATTTCTACATATTTGGAATGGTCAAGTTTTCTTTGTTGTTAATTTCTAGCTTCATTCCCTTGTGATCACAAAAGATATTAAGAGGACATACTCCAAGAAAAGCCTTATGAATAGGTCACCAGAATCTCTAGCCGGGCTGAGTAAAGAAGTCATCTCTATAAAAAAAACCTGGTACAAATTCTCAGAGAGGTGGCTTTTTCTTCAAATGCTAATGTCCCAACAAAACAACAACAATAAAATAATAAGGTATACAAAGAAATAGGGAAATGTGGCACATTTAAAGGAAAAATTAAATCTCTAGAAAGTAACCCTAAAAAATGATAATATGAGAATTAACAGGAAAAAAATTCAAAATTAACAGATATACATCTAAATGAAATCAGGAAAACTGCATGAACAAAATGAGAATAGCAACAGAAATAAAAACTATTAAAAAGGACCAAAGAGAAATTCTGCAACTGAAGAACATAATAACTGAATTGAAAAATTCACTAGAGAGCCTTAACAGAAGACTTAAGTAGGCAGAAGAAAGAATCAGTGAACTTAAAGACAGGACTTTTGAAATTATCAAGGTAGAGGCACAAAAGAATATAGTAGGAAGAAAAACAAAGAGAGCCTAAAAGACTTATGGAACACCATCAAGCAGAACAACATATGCATCATGAAAGTTCCAGAAGGAAAATAAAGAAAAAGGCAAAGAAGTTTAAGAAATAATTGCTGAAAACTTCCCAAATAAGAGGAAAGGAATGGACATACAAATTCAAAAAGCTCAAGGAACTCGAACTAGGATACATCTAAAGAGAGCTACACCAGGAGACCTACATCATAATCAAACTGTTACAAGTCACAAAGAGAGATTTTGATAGCATCAAGGGAAAAGTGATGCATCAGGCACAAGGAAGCTCCTGTTAGATTATGAGCAGATTTATCAGCAGAAACCTTGCAGACTAGAAGAGAGTGGGGTGAAATATTCAAAGTACCAAAAGAGAAAAAATTCTAACCAAATATACTATATCTGGCAAAACTGTCCTTCAAAAACAAAAGAAAAATTGAGACTTTTCCAGATAAACAAAAGCTAAGGGAGTTCATCAGCACTAGACTGGCCCTACAGAAGATGCTGAAAGGAGTCCTTCACACCAAAGCAAAATGACAATAAACAGCAATACAAAACCATACAAAAACATAAAACTTCCTGGTAAAGGTAAATATATAGACAAATATAGACTCATGTAATATAATGTTGGTATGTAAAACACTTTTAAATCTGGTATAGAATTTTTTTAAAAAAAGCATAAAAGTCATTACAATCTATGTTAATGGATACATGATATAAAAAGAGGTAATTTGTGTTATCAATAACAAGGTAGGAGGTAGAGATGTAAAGGAGTAGAGTTTTTATACATGATTGAAGTTAAGTTGTTATCAATTTAAGTAGATTGCTATAAGTTAAGAGGTTTCATTTAATTGCAATGGTAACCACAAAGAAAATATTTATAGAATATACACAAATGGAAATGAGAAAGGAATCAAAATATGTCACTATGAAAAAAATCAACAAAACACCAAAGAAGGCATCAAAGGAAGAAAGGAAAGACAAAAAAAAAAAAAAAAAGCTACCTAACATACAAAAAATATTTAAAAAATTGCAGTAGTCAGTCTTTCCTGATAGTAATTACTTTAAATGTAAATGGATTAAACACACCATTTAAAAGACATAGATTACTTGAATAGATTATAAAGAAAGCAAACATGATCCAACTATATGGTGTCTATAAGAGATTCACTTAAGATGTAAGGGCACACATAAACTAAAAGTGAAAGAGTGAAAAAGATATTCAATGAAAACAGAAGCATAAAAGGAGCCGGCCTGGACATACTTATATCAGACAAAATAAACATTAAGACAAAAACTATTTGAAGAGATAATGAAGGGCATTATATAATGATAAAAGGGTCATTTTGCCAGGAAGATATAACATTTATAAACATATATGCAGCTAAGATTAGAACTCCCAAATATATGAAGCAAGCTTCAGTAGAACTGAAGGGAGAAATAGATAGCAACACAGTAATAGTAGGAGATTTCAATACCCAACTTTCAATAATGAATAGAACAACCAGACAGAAGATTAATAAGGAAGCAGAGGACATGAACAACACTACAAACCAATTGGACCTAACTGACATACATAACACTTCACCCAACAGCAGCAGAATATACATTCTACTCAAGGGCACATAGAACATTCTCCAAGATAGATCATATTTTAGGCCACAAAACAAGTGCTAACAAATTTAAAAAGATTGAAATCATTCAAAGTATCTTCTCTAACAACAGTGCAATGAAAATAGAAATCACTAGCAGAAGGAAAACAGGAAAACCCACATTTAAATTTAAACAACACACTTTGAAACAACCAATGAGTCAAAGGATAAATCCCAAAGGAATTTAGAAAATATCTGGAGACAAATGAAAATAAAATACAACATACCAAAACATATGGGATGCAACAAAAGTAATAGTAAGAGGGAAATTTATAGCAGCAAACACTTACACTAAAAAAAGGAAAAATCTCAAATCAGCAACCTAATATTATCTCCCAAGGAATTAAAAAAGAACAAACTAAACCCAAAGTTAGCAAAAGGAAGGAAATAGTAAAGATTAGAATAGAGATAAATGAAATTGAGAATAGAAAAATAATAGAAAAATATCAATAAAACCAAGAGTTGGTTTTTTGAAAAGATCAACCAAATT